GTGTTTTTTTTTTTGAGTTTTTTCCCTCCTCATTTTATATATATATATATATATATATATATATATATATATATATATATATATACCCCCTTTAAATTTATAAATTTAAGTAATTATTTTCTCAAATAAAAATATTTATTATACTTTATTTTTTACTTGTGACATATGTATCTACCAAATTCTACAAAAAAATGTATTTAACATTATTTTGTATTTGTATTTCATATTTAAAATTTTTGATTAATAAATATTTTAAACCTTAATTATGTAATTAAAGTTTTCCTTCTACACTTTATTAAAATCACCACCTACTTTTATGCTTAATTTTAAATAATTTTCTTTTTTTTATTCTTCTCAATATCAGTTATCACCAAATTAACATGTTTCCTTCTTTGTTAAATTAGGTATCCTTTAATTAAGGAGTTAGATACAAGTGATTACTATGTTAAATCTAAGGTCAAATTGTTTAAATAGTGCATAAGTTTAATTCTTGGCAAAAATAATACTTGATCAAACTTTACTTATCTCATGATCGAATTAGATTATTTTAAGACAAAGTCTTAAAAAAATAATAAAAAGGTATCCCTTATAGGAAGTGAAAGAATATTTATTTACCATATTTATAAGAAAAAGTTATTAGATATTTAAAAACTACCAAGTTTTAAATAATTTGAAAATTTGAGGCATAAATTTTTAAATTTAAATTTTATTGTTATTGTCGTAATATTTTGTACTTATTAAAAAAATATTACCAAATATTTATGATTTCAATTAATATTCACATAACATGCATTTAAGTTTTTGAAATTAAAAAAATTACATTTAATGCATACAAATTGTTAGAAATATGAGAGCTAGCTAGAAATTCATCTGATAATTTATCTGATAATTTTTTTTAGTCAGCGTTGGAAGTGAGTTGAGATGAATTAAACTCGATTCAATTTGGTTCAACTAATAATATTTAACTCAATTCGCAGTTTAACTTGAATTCAACATAAATATGTGTTTTTAACTTAAATTCATCTTGATTCTAGTTTACCAGTAACTCGTTAACTTGAACCACTTAAATTAAGAGTCAATTTTAAAAAAATCAATTTAATAATAGATTTTTTATAAAACAATTGTTTAATTTTTTTAAAAGATAAAATATAACTTAACTATACTATTAACTTTGCAAAGTTCCAAGATATGATATCAAAGAAATATAATTACAACAAAATCTATTTAAAACCTTGTATAAAATAATAGAATAGTAATATTCATAACTACGAAATTCTAAAATCTTAAATTTTGTTATTATTATTAATTTATAACTAATTTTTGAAAGTTAAAATTTTAAATTTTAATAAGCTGAAATTAAATAAAAAATTAAGTATATAAATCACATATCTATAAATAAAATTATACACATTTCAAATTGAACTTATTTATTTATGAATCTCAATTTTCAACTCAAATTTAATTTATTTAATTTATAAATTAAATTTAACGAGTAAATTATATAAAATTTAGTTTTTTTAAAAGGTACTTTTGAGCTGTTTAGGCAACATGGCCACTACTTTATAAGAACCTAACCTCTACTGAAGAGTGTAGAGAGGTAGCTGGTTCATTACATTATTTGAATATCCATCGTTAAATAGATCCTAGCTACCCTCTCTGATCACTGCGAGTGCCACCATCACCATGGTTCTCCAACGCGTCCTCATCGTGACGTACCCTGCGCAGAGTCACATAAACCCTGCCCTCCAACTAGCCAAGAAACTCATCACCATGGGTACACACGTCACTCTCCTCCTCACTCTCCACCTCTACCGTCGCATCACCAACAAAATCACCATCCCCGGCCTCACCCTCCTCCCCTTCTCCGACGGCCACGACGCCGGCTTCAACACCGTCCACAGCCCCGACGCCGACCTAAACCACTACGTCCAGGAGCTCAAGCGTCGCGTTTCCGACTTCGTCTCCAATCTCATCTCCACCGCCAACAAGGCTCACGTGCCTTTCACTTGTTTAGTCTACACCCTTCTCCTTCCTTGCGTCGCTGACGTGGCACGCGGATTGGGCCTCCCCACAGCCTTGTTCTGGATCGAACCCGCCACCGTGTTGGACATCCTCTATCACTACTTTCACGGCCGTGCTGATTACATCAACGAAGAAACGAAAAAAAAGGGTTCGGTAACGCTGCCGGGGTTGTCGTTTTCGCTGTCCGCGCGCGACGTGCCGTCGTTTTTGCTGCGGTGGAAACCTGTTGTGTTTTCTACTATTCTTCCGTCGTTTGAGGAGCAGATTCTGCAGTTGGACATGGAGACTAATCCCACAGTGCTTGTGAACACGTTTGAAGCATTGGAAGTGGAGGCGCTGAGAGCCGTTGATAGGTTTAACGTGATCCCCATCGGGCCGTTGATTCCTTCTGCGTTCTTGGACGGGAAAGACCCTCATGATACTTCCTTCGGTGGGGACATTTTTCCAGTTTCAAGGAACGTGATCCCCATCGGGCCGTTGATTCCTTCTGCGTTCTTGGACGGGAAAGACCCTCATGATACTTCCTTCGGTGCTGACATTTTTCCAGTTTCAAGGGATTACGTAGAGTGGCTTGACTCGAAGCAAGAGAATTCGGTGGTGTACGTGTCGTTTGGAAGCTACTGGGAGTTGTCTAAGAGACAAATGGAGGAGATTGCTGTTGCGTTGTTGGATTGTGGACGTCCATTCTTGTGGGTGATTAGAAAAAAAGTAGCAGATGGAAAGGAAGAGGAAGAACTAGAAGGGTTAAGTTGTAGAGAGGAGTTGGAAGTGAAGGGGAAGATAGTGACGTGGTGTTCTCAGGTGGAGGTTCTGTCGCATGTTTCTGTGGGTTGTTTTGTGACGCACTGTGGTTGGAACTCGACCATGGAAGGGCTTGTTTGCGGGGTTCCGATGGTGGCGTTTCCTCAGTGGACGGATCAGATGACTAATGCGAAGATGATAGAGGATGTGTGGAAGGTAGGGGTGAGGGTGGATCATCAAGTGAATGAAGATGATGGGTTTGTGGAAGGAATGGAGATTAAGAGATGTTTGGAAGTGGTGATGGGGAGTGGAGACAAGGGAAATGTGTTCAGAAACAATGCAAAGAAATGGAAGGCTTTGGCTAGGGATGCTGCCAAGGAAGGTGGCCCTTCGGAGAACAACCTCAGGGCTTTTCTTGACGATGTTGGACAAAAGTTTATGCTTAGTCATGTGGCTGAAAATTAAGTTCGTGTCTATTAATGTAACGTCTTACGTTGCATGACTTCAAAAGACAAAATTAAGTTATGATTCAATTAATAAAACCTTGATAATGTCGCTGTTGGTCATAAATCAGTTGATTCAATCGTATATCGGATAATTTTTTTTAATATTGAGAGTAAATGTACAGAGCAGGGAATAAACCACGTAAATGGGTTTAATATTAAAATACAATCTAAAATTTTAATGGATTAAGAAGGTGAATTTTTCTTATTTATATATTATTTAATATGTGTAATTTTAACTAATGTGATATTCACTTCTTACTTGATCTCTCCAACACTATTTTATGATTTTTTCTATTAATTTTTTTTTTATTTAATCTTTTCCCTGGAGAAGCAGAAGTAGAGTTGCTGAAGAAAACAGGATTGGTTCAAAGCAACTTATTTTTATTTTTTACGGATATATACAGGGAAGGGAAGACATGAGTGAGTATTTGCGTCGAATAAATCGCGTGCGCGTGTGGCTAACTCTTGAGTTGGTTCCTTTGGGTCTGATTTTTTTGCACATGTTTTAAGTGCGTGCATGTGTACATATAAAAATAGATAAACAATTATTAAATACTTTGACAGCACCACAATTTTCACGGTCCTAATTAATTGTTATATAATATATATTTAAACTTTTTAATTTATGAAAAGAAATTAATAATACATAATTATATGTTATAAAGATATTAGCTTGTTAAAGATTAATTATATTATAAAAATCACTTTCAATATTTAAACTAACTCAAAATACTTATGTAAAATCTTATATCTTTAATAATTTTTTTTTATAATGTAAAATTAATCAAATTTAATTGTTGAAATATGTCATATTATATTCAAGATCATGTGTATAAAATTTTATACGATTCTAAAATTATTTAATAGTTTATCATATTACTTTATTTTAATATATAATATAATATTTAAAATATGTATAAATATTATATGAATTTTAATATACATGATCTTGAGTATAATATCATATGATTCAACAATTGAATAGTTCTAGTTTGTATCATTGGAAATAGTAATTATTTTTAGGTTTAAATATGTTTTAATCCCTCAAATTTAAGACAAAATTTGGTTTTGGTCTCTCATATTTAAAACTGTTATTTTTAGTCTTTATAATTTTCAAAAAATTTATTTTAGTCTTTCATGTCACCAACAACATATTTGAAAGTGACTAATTAAGACAGTTATGCAATATCAACCAGATTTAATGTGATGTTTTCACTAATAGGGACACCAATAGATAGATTTTATGCAATAATGTTTGATAAATTTTTTAACAAAATTTGAATATAAGTACTAAAATAAGATTTTTTGAAATTACAGGGACTAAAAATAACAATTTTAAATTTGAGGGACCAAAAATAATTTTATTCTAAATTTGAGGGACTAAAAACATATTTAAGCCTTATTTTTAATTTGAGGGATATTTTTTTTTAAATAATAGCATTAAAAATAAAGTCAAGTTAATTAGAGTTTATTTATATTTAAATTCAAATTTTTTAGGTACTATTGTTTTGCTTATATATGGTCCAAAGGGAGTAAAAGTTAGGAGTTAAAAAGTTAAAAGCTTACACGCTTACTAATTAAATTGAAAGTATTTGGTAAAATTAGTTAAACTAATCAATATTCAAAATAGGATAGCTAAATTAAATGTTGAACTTGCTGCAAATGAAGCAAAGGAAAAAATATTGGAAGAACATATAGGACAACATGATGAGCAGATGCAATATATACTACGACAACTCAACATTGACCCTTTAAGGCCAACCCCTCCTCCACCGAGTACTACGTACCTAGATGATCCTAAGCATGGTTTTGATGATGCTCTTGATGAGATAGCAGAAGACCCTTAATTAGGCTCCTATATTTTACTTGTTTTAGGATTTCTGGATGTATTTCACTTCTAATTCGTTGAAGAACCTTGATTGTACTCCTTTATTTTACTTGTTTCAAGATTTTTATTTATTTATTGTATTTCACTATTATTTTGTTGAATTATCGTGTTTTTAGCATACCATATTGACATAGTTATATATTATTTAGCTTCTACTATACACTATAAGTTTACATGGATGAGATTATGTAAGTCTTTTAGTATGTTTTAGTTCATTATTATAAATTGTGTAATGAATATATTGTTAATTTCATATTTATTAATAGGTTTAAATTTATAATTTAACAAGAAGTTAAAAGTAGTGGTTAACATTAGCGATCGAATTGATTCGTCACTATTTCAAGTTTTTTGCGACCGAATTATTTTTGTAACTATTTAATTTTTTGTGACTAATTTAGAGACGAAAATACCAACAGTATTTTGCGACCGAATTAGAGACGAATTTTAAATTTTTTTCAAATAAATAAAAAAAGATTGGCGACTGAAATTGCAACCAAAGATTTTAGTCGCAAGATTGGTCTCGAGAAGCTAGGCGACCAATATTATAGCGACGACTTCTGAAGTTATAGCGACGAATGTATTTGGTCGCTAACTTGAGACGAAAATAATTTTGGTCGTTATTATCAATAACGACCAGGGTTTTAGCGACATATTTTTTTAGTTTCTAATTCGGTCGATGAATGGAATAGCAGTCAAAATAAACTAAATAACAACGAATGTTGGTGGTCGTTGAAACATTGTCTTTTTTTTGTAGTGAATTTAATAATGAGAATGAACACATAAACAAAATGACTTTTAAATTAAAAAGGATATTGGGTAATTAACGAGGATAAAAAAAAACTAAGAACTTATAAGCTAATAGTATATGCTGCTTAAATTAGCTTACAACATTTATAGTAGAGAGTGAAATAAATATGCAAATACTTACTTTTAAATAAATAAACATGATCTCTCTCTATAAGCAATATGACGATGATGACAACAATGACAATGATGATGATTGTGACAATAGTGACAATATATCTATCACTACCACTATCATCATCTTAATCATTGTTGTTGTTACTATCAACAAAATCATTATTGATGACACACACATACACTATTTAATTAAGATGATTTGTACATGTGCATTGCTGTAAAAAAACAATATACATTATAATTTATCAATGATATTAGATAAGTTGGTTAAAATGTGTTCCAAAACTTTTGTAAACTCTTTAATTTTAAGTTGATTTCTATTGATATTATACTTAAAGTGCTTAACAGGATATTAAAAAACATAATTAAGATATGGTGTCTAGATGAAACAATAAATAAATACTAACATATAAATAGTAAATTATTTGATACATTTTTTTTTACATTTTGGTACATGAATTTAATAAATGATTTATATAAGTTGGTGATAGAAAAATAATAATATTATAAAAGGAAAATACATTTTAAGATAGATGAAAATTTCAAACTAATGTGTATTTAAATTAATGAATAATTTATTCGATACACATTTTTATAAATGATAATCTTATTGAAATTAATAAATACTAACTTTTACATAAATAGAAATTTTACAAAATAATACTAAAACTTAAAGTTTTAATTACGCATTTGATCTTTATAATTTTATAAACTCTATCTTCTAGTCCTTCCTTGTAATTAAAAATGTTTCATTTTAGTATTTATATATAACATATTTGTTCTCTATAGTTGTCCATCGTCTATTTTTATGGAAAATAAAAAAAAAGTTTATTAAACTATATATAATAAAAGGAAACAAAAACAATATATATAAGAACTAAAATAAAATATTTTTAATTATAAGAACTACATGATAAAATTCATAAAATTGTAGCAAAAAAGATAATTAAACCAAACTTAAATATAATTAATAAAATAACAATTAACATTATCTTTACTTTATCTCTATCTATCTATCTATCTATCTATCTATCTATCTATCTATCTCTCTCTCTCTCTCTCTCTCTCTCTCTCACACACACACACACACACACA